ATACGTCCATTAGCAAAAGGGCGAACTCTTTATTCGGTACCTGTAATTATTGTATAGACTTTCTTTCGGCGCAAGAAATTACAAAGTATCAAATTACGGACCCTGTTATAAAGCCCACTTTGATTACATTAACTAACTAAGTCTCGCTGCAATTAATTTTAAATTACATTACACTTCACTTTTAAAATTACTTTGTGTGATCAAATAAGCACGAGTTGAATGGAAGATGATTCAAAACGTTGCATCTGATATTAGAATGTATTACACGCAATTAGAATTTAAAAAATGAACATAAAAACGAATCCATTTCGTAGTCTTTATATGTAGCTTAAATTCTCAGTATCTTGGGTCTAGACTAGACCATTGGAATAAATTTACATAGACCACAAAAAAAGATGTTTATTCAATTAAGTTTGAAATAAAGTATCGGGTAGTGGCCCTTCATGTATTTAATATTCTGCTTACAAAAGTTAAACAACGTGTAATACGGATAGTATTGAATCGGTGATAGCTACTCTTCGTCAAATGAATAATAGAATGAAAATTCGGCGGTAAAAATGTGACTGCATGAAGCAGCATTTATTAAATATTTTAAACTGACAAATTTTATGCTTTTTTCTTAAGAGTTTCTTCAAATAAAAATATGTGGTATTGCTCTGTTATAAAGCAATGGCTTTACTGAAATATATAGTTTAAACACTGATTATACATATTTATCTACTATGTATCCTCAAAAAGATAGTTGTAATTATTAAAAATTTAAACTTATTCACTTACCTATTTATTTAATGAATAATTAAAATTATTAAGTTTATAAAACATTAAACATTAAATTATTGCAATGAAAATTTAGAGTTTTCATTATTAATATATGAAGTTATTGAGTTGTATTTAAATTACTTTAAAATATATATTTATAAATTAATGGAATAAACTGTAAGACTATTTATTATGTTACATGATTCTATTAACAAAGAACCAGACTTAACACCTCACTCAATAAATTCGTATGATTACATTTCGACTCTATCAACAAGCCCATATGATTTTTAGGAAGTACCAACCTTCAGACGACGCCTATTAATATTTTATGGCAATCTGACGTTTAGTTCACAAGTTACAGTGGTTTTGGTGACGCTACTTTTGTAATTTTCAAAACAATGGAACATTTTAAATTTCGTGTGTTGTTAAAACATTGCTTTTTGATGAAAAAAATAAATCGTACAAGAAAGTTATCGAAATTAGAGAAGCGTTTTAATGAATATATCACTCTGCAGATATGTTGGCATAAGGTATATTATAATAAATAATTACAAATATTATAATGGATATTTTTTAAAGACATCAGATATTGTTGGGTATATTATTACAACAATAAGTAACAATTAAAATGTATAAGAAATGTTTTATCAAATAACCACCTTCTTATTAATATATAGTGATTTGATAGATTATGTAAACTTTATATATTTTTATACAGCAATTCCTCTCATAGTGGGGACAACTATTGTTTACATATCATAAAGATACATTTTCAATTACTTTTTTTTGTAGATGAGATACCAACGATGTGCATCTTTGAATCCTTGAACATCCTTGAATCTTGTGTAGAATGTTTTGCAACAATTGAGAACCAGTTAAAAATTAAAAATAACAAAAATTTGCACTATGCGAGGTATTGAATTTTGTAGCAAATTATAAAATAATCAATCATTGAAAATTTGTTCAATTATCACAAAAAATGAGCAGATGATGTGTAAAATTGTTCGATTACGACTATTTGTATATATAATTAAATTTTGTCGACCGATTTTATGACAAAGCGTTTTTGACCCAAATTATATTTTCAATAGTGAAAATTATAAAGGGCCAGCCAGCATTTTCCTGTATTACTTATAATATCATTTCAATACGGTATTGTAACAAATAATTTGATTTCGCTCTATTTACGGTCCAATGGGTGCTGCGGTCGGCTATCGATCGAATTGTTGCACAACTGCAAGGTTTTGAATGATACATAAAATGTGTATTTGTGTTTCACTGTGTTCGCATATTTACTTTCTATTTTCCAACGCAGAGTGTGTGGGCTAAAAATTATGCTCGAAACTAAATATTTCAGATCAATAAAAATAATATGTAGAACAGTCTTTAGTTATTGAATTTGAAATTAATAGCGTTTATTTCAGAAAGCAATGAAAAAAATAAAAAAATATAGTAAAGCCCTTTTTTTCAAATAAATCGTTGTTTTATTTCTATTTTTATATACTAGTATAAATATTGCAAAAAAAATGATTTGGTTATTCCTGTCTTGATACTAATTTCAAAATTTACAACCTTTTGATCGTAATAGAAATAATTTAGATTTTGTAAATAAATGTAATAAAATGATTTCATATCAATTACATTTTTAATTTAAAAATATCATCATCTGTAAATATGAAGATTGTATATAATATTGTCATTATCAATATAATTTACATCATAAATGATGATTATCATTTACAATTACAATTATATGAACATACAAATAATTAATATTTATGAGAGAAATGTTATGAATGGGAGAATGTTATAATTAGTAATGTATACATTATTTTGTTACTATAACAAATAAAACTCATTAATAACTAATATATGTATTTAAATGCTAATAAGTCAAGTGAAAGTAAACTTTTTAATAAGAAAATCTTATAAACTAAATGATCATTTAGAAATCTAAATAATTTAAAATTATTATTTAAACAAATTTAAAAAAAATAATATTTTTAGTTTTGATAAAAAAAAAATCAATCACATTATTTAATGGCTTGACTATTGAAAGTATATATTATATTTATAGGTACAAGTTAATAGATACAAACACATATACATTAAAAGGTCTAATAACCTGTTGTATAAATTAATTTAGAATATTTAATGGAATATTCTTTACAATAAAAATTATACAGTAGGTATTTGTAACGTAGGCATAAGCGAAAATAGTGCAAATAAAATTATTTATTAATGTTTTGGAATTGCAAAGCATGTGATAATAGGTTACTTCCTAACAATGAAAGATAAGCAACCAGTTGTTCTTTGAATATTAAAAATACAAAGTTGCCTACTTTTGATTACAATAGTTTTTAAGTTGAAGTTAAACCAAGTATTGATTTGTCGTTATATTGATTAATCATTTGTTGTTAAATTATTTTATAACATTACGTTCAGATGAATAATGTCAACCTCCGTCAAACAATGTAATTGATAATGACCACCAAATAGACATAGTGAAAAGTGAAGTATCTAAGTTTAATTAAATTTTAAATAACAAATAGAAATAGTTGTAATTTCTGTGCTATTTATAACATAAATACAGTGCATATATTTTTATCAACGTGCTTTTTTTTATTAAATTCTTAGATCAGAATGAACATTATACAACATAAGAACATAATGACATTTGGTAATTTATTACATAATTGAAAATATTTTTTATATTTAATACAATGGTAGTATTTTAGATCAACACATTTTAATTTATCACAAATATATGCTATAACTTTTCCAATAGAAAACAATACAAAGTTGACCATATTGAATGTTTTTCAGACAAGAAATTTCAAATTACTTTATTTCCATTTAACGTTGTATATTTATTATTTATTCAAAACAAATGGAATTTCCTTTTGTAGAAAAAATAACTTTTAATATGATATTATTTCCTTTTGAAATTATATTTTTTTTTTTGAGAATATTGGTCTTAAATTATAGTAATTAACTGTTTTATGTTCAAAAAGAATACCATGAAATGAGCACAAATGACGGATTGTGGCTAGCAACAGGAAATAGCGTTGTGCATCGATCCACGGTTCTCGAGGGTAGACGCAACTGCGTTGTAGGCCTTTACGTAAATGTTAGGTATAGTGTCCAGGTAGATTGGGATCACCTATTTCTAAACTCTAACGGACACAGAGACCAAAACACTCAAGGATAATTTCTCGTGATAGTAGAACACGACATCTATTTATATAATCCAATAATCCTGCAAAACTTAATGCTTTTTTATATTTTTTCTATTGTAAACCTAAAAACAAAAACTTTTTTTTGATAATGCTACCTAATCTGATAAGATTTTTTAAATGTGACTTATATTTTCTTAACAAATTTGATTATATTTGTATATTAATTAATGTTAATAATACAAGCTAAAACAATGCTTAGAATTTCTTTTGTGTTGAATTTCTGTGCAAGCATTGACAATTATAAAGTGTTAATCGTTATGCAATTTTAATCATTTATTCAAATTGAAACCCCAGGTAAAGTGCTATCTAGTGGCGAGTGGCAAAACTATGGATTAATAGAATTTTAGTTAAGTTACATTTTAAAGGTAGCTCCAGAATTACAAATTTCTGCTTTACGAATCATCTAGCAGATTAGGGTAAAGCATTGATTTATAATTCTGATGCCATAAGCATAATTAAAAATATATAATAATAATAATAATACGCTTGACTTTCTTATTCAGTAAACCAACGTTATGAAAAGATATAAAATTTTAAATTATAAAATAAAGTTTCTGTTACGAATGTATTAAATCATATATTTAAAACAGTTTATATGATAAAGTGAAGTTGAAAAATAATCATTTTTTGTATAATTGTACAAAACATCAGGATTATTGTGCAATTAACAATTATTAGGAAATATAGTTACATTAAATAAATGTCAATTCGTATATATTTATTTTTATAAAATCATTTCATTAACATTAACTATCTACAATTTGGCATTTCATTTATAATGAGATGATAATACTTAAAATACACTTAAGATCTAGGAACAAAATTATATTGAGACCTATGGCCGTTATACTTATTTATTAATGTTTTAAATGCAAAAGTAAAGCTGGAAACGAATATAATAAAGTACGAGCAATAGAGAAACCGCACATATTACAAAAAAGAAAAAAAATATTCAAACAGATATTATAATTAATCGTCATAATAAATAATTTGTACTAAAAAACGAAACAAAAACAGCTAGAAAATAAAAATAACGAAACAATTAATAGTAATAAAGCTGTCGTCGTTTCCATTCTAGTAATTTAAACAAAACGGAACGATGATAGATTTAAAGGTTCGCGGAGTAGCGAAGTAAACCACTTCCAATCATTGCATTTAGTTTACACATGTAACTAGACGAACACATATTATTATTAAATATTTGGCAAAGAAATAAGGATATATTTTAAAAAAAGGACAATGTTTTCGTCAAACAAAAGTTTCATATATGTCTTTTACATCTCACGTATCTTTGTGCATATTTCCTTCTTATAAATAAAGTAACATTAATATATGCACTTATTATTTTAGCCACAAACATTACAAAGGCAGTGAATATTTTTTTGTATATATATATATATATTGAAGGCATTTTAATCTATGAGCATTTTGTTTTTCTTTTTTATATATACGATTATAAAACTATTCGTTTTCGGATCATATCGTAATCGGAATTGCTCAAACTATGGTTCTTGCATATCGTTTTTGAATCCGCGCGGGAAGTCGAGATGATGACCGCGTAACTTCCTGGCCAATTCGTGAATGACGTCCCGGAATATCACGGAATCCACGTTCTCTCCCAGCATGTAAAACAAGAACCAGTCGCCCATCTTACTTTGGCGAACGATCAAATCGATGTCCTCTTTCTTCATAAGCCTGTACCTCATCCTGAGGAGGTACATCCTCATCCTGGGAGATAGAATAATTATGATCCTGTAGACTATTGTCAGTAGTGTAAGCATGGCGAGGAGTATGAACCAGAACCAAAGGAACACGTATATTTTCTCGTTAACTACATTCAGAGGTAAGATGCAGATCGCATCGTGGCGCTCCACTTCACCGGAGACGCCGTATTTATAGAAAGTGCATTTAGTCATTTTCGGGAACACCTGGATTATCGGATCAATGCGATCTTCCTGGTCGCTGTCCATAAATTCTAGCACTCTGATCCCAAAGGATAGAAAGGCACCGTCAAAGAATCGATTCATGAGAAACATTTGCCCTAAAATAAATATAAATTGTAAAAGTAACATACATGCTCTATATATAATATATTATTTAGTATCTGTAACTGTTTGAAGAATTTCTTCCTAAAAGTCTTTCAACAAAATGTTTTTTGAAATCACCAATCGACTAACTTGTGTAACTTTAATAAACTACAAAATTACATCTGATTAATTAATAATTCACTATGACATTCAGTGAAATGGTAAGTCTCCTGACAGATACAGATTCATCCATACCAAAAATATATGGAATTATGCATTTTTTTAAAGATTTTTTCATGCTAAGCCACTGCATATAAGTATTTCAATAATATTTTATAAATTTTGCAGTAGAAACGTCCACCCAGTAAATATATAAACAACTAATGAAATACAACTTTTAACTAGTAAAAGCACACATTTTTACAACTGACTTAATAGAAGATATACAGCAATATCTCGCATAGTACGGCTTTGAGAAAATACATTTTAATGTAGTTTTTTTTTTCAATTATAACGAACAGTTTGTAACATATTGGAGGAACCGATTATCCGCACTATTCGAGGTATTGCTGTATAAATATGCTTAGAGGATTAACAAAATTTTAAGTGAAAGAAAATGATGGTGGAGAAAAAAAAATAGAAATTAATTATTGTAAATTGTAAATGTTATGCCATTGTGAGACATTGGTGTAAAACATAAATAAATAAGTTGTAAATATGCATGACCTAAAATACTTGTATATCTTACCTATGACGTTTATAAGGGCTAGCACTTCACAAAAATAGTATTTATAGGCCCACCAATTGTGGTAGGTGAAATTCTCTAATAAGTAGTCAATCATGAGTTGTTTCTTCATCCTCTTCTCATTTTCCGCGCAAATTCCAATATCCAGATCCAACATCAGAGCGCGAATTTTTCCTCCTTCCCAGGACTTCCATAGCCATCTCGGCGTATAAAACAAAATGGCCTGAAAATAAGAACACATTTATTTAAATTTATTAAAGACAAGCAATGAAAATACGGAATTTATTTGACTCAATTCAATTTAAAATCAATTTACAGAGTATATATTGATACGGTGCTAGCAATATCAATCTATTTTAGGTATTATTATTAACTCGTATGTTTACACAGGCAGGCTAAAAAAGCCGTATGTATATTTTTTATTGGGGGTGTCCTTAATGAAACGTATGCACCTCGAAATAGAAACAGTTCCAGACATGTTTGGATAAACATTAACCTCTTATTTTAGCCCCCCAGTGCGATCATGAGGTTGGATATCTTTTCTTTCTGCATGCACGTGATGGTAAATAACGTATCGTACAAATCCTACCATTATTTCTTCACAATTTTCAATTATTTCAAATTTACAAAACATTATTTCATTATTGCAAATCAGCTTTATTCAATTATTAGTTTAAATGATTTGAACTTGTTTAAAACAAAAAAATAAAGTCATAAATTGGATTTATTAAATTATTATAATATCATTTCTGCTCAATTTCTATCTTTTTAATCGTAGTGCATTTGAATATAAAAATAAGTCACTTCAGAATATATATTTACGGTTACATAAAGGAATTTATATGAAAATTGAAATTTCGCATTATCCGGTACTCGAAGCTTTTGAAAGAATTTGAATTCAATTTATGTTACAATTTTATATGGTTATTTAGATAAAATACCATATGGAAATAGTCAGAGTATATTTAAGAATTTTGATATGCATTATCTACTAACTATTTTTTTAAATCGTTCTCTATTTATATTAAACTACTTTTGTACATTATCTCGAAATTACAAATTTTGGTATAGTTACGTAATTATTTTATTATACATATTTATGCAATATAATTTATATAAGATTCAACTTTTTTTTCAATTTGCGATGACTCTTTTGTGATAAATTTATCTATAAAAGTTTGTTTCCCAACAGATGACATTTTTGTGTACTAATCGTGCACATGTTCAATATTTTATAATTGGAAAATAACTAAGCTAAAAATAATCCAAAATAACAATCTAAAATGAAAGTATGTCATTAGGGTAAGATACAATAATAAAGCAATATTTATTTACGGGTTGTTTGACAGATAAAACTGAAAACAAATAAAATATTTTAATTGCTTCCATAAATCAGTAATTTATAATTATTATAATATTTCAGTCAACTGAAATACAACATTAAATATTGCATTAGTTGCTTGTTTTCAGTGATTGTGAATTTTTCACAATTATTACAAAATTTATTGGCTTTTCGATCAAAGTTTTTACCCGTATTTTAATATATCATTGTTATTTATTCAAAGTAATTATCCTGACTAAAAAAAATGAATTGAATTTCTACATATTGCAACAATATGAAAACAAATACAACACAAATTGGACATATATCTTGGTGTTATTATATGGGCAATAAGAAAATAATAAAAACAAATCGGATTCAAAGTTATATTAGTTGCCAGACAAAAACAAAATACTGCATCATACTATTCCAGACCAAATATTTTCTATATAGAAATACATACAAAAATCTGACTTTTTTAGAAAACCACTTTTTAGAACATCTCGCAAATTATTTTAATTGAAGGCTGAATAAATAATTGTTTTAAATAACTTCTTTAAATAAGCGATAACTCAATATGTATATCAATATTTTTATTTAAATTATTTGTATTTTAAACAAATTATTGTACACCATATTATTGCCCTTAAGTTTACATAATATTTTTAATTTGTTGATAGATTCTACAAGAATCAATAAGTAAATGAAATAAAATCTCGCCTTTGATTTTTTGCTCACATTAAAACAAATTTTGATTATTTAACTTTGCTGTGAAAAAAAAGTTTCAATAAATGAGATGTAAATCTCTTTATTCATATTTAACTCGACGAAATATTTTGTAATTTATAGATTGAATGACACGATCTAACACTTATCCGATATCATAGTATAAATTGTAATAAGATTGAGTTATTTATTCAGTAGCAAAACGTACGATCATACGTTGAACCATTTTATTGCACTTATTTGCTTTGAATTCTCCGAGTCAAGAGCGCAGAGAGACGGTCTGTTTAGAAGTGCGATCCATTGTTTAGCAGATTTATTTATAATCCGTAATGGTTAAATTTACTAGACATAGCTTTATTTTTTCCCTGTCCGTTTATATAATTCCTCTTTCAGCATTTGAGGGATTTTAAATGATCAGCTGCGGATAAATACGCCCGCGAAGAACATCAAAAGAACACATCCGAAATAAAACAATAATCGAAGTATTGTTTACGACTTTGAAATTGTTCGATCCACTTTGAATCTCTTTCGTATGACACCGTTGTTTACATAAATTCCAAGATCATTTCCCCTTGTAATCTTATAAAAAACGAGTGAAATTTCTTACGCAATTCACGAAAATGTTTGATTGCGAAAATCCTACAATAGGAATTATACAAGAAAATAGAGCAATAATAATGCTTTCTTATTCTGTAATTATAATTGTTCGAAAATATAAGCTGGAAGAAAGAGAAATAAAAGCAAACAATAAAAATATTTTAAATGAGGCGATCTTCTGTTCGGTTAATTAAGTTGAAGTATGATTTATTCTGGGCCATTGGGAACGTCGGGTGTATAGACATTGACGATTCAAGAAACACAAAATGCAAATCTTGTCTTAATTATCGAAGATCTGTGCCAAATGGGAGCCCAATTAAATTCCATTACAACAGCCAAAGTCTAATGCATTATATTTAGCTCTTCTACCTAAATAAAAAAAAATACAAATATCCTTTTTTCATTCAATTTGTTTTATAACATTTACTAAACAAATGTCCGGCCATAAACGTTAAATTTTAATGTTTGGAAATACAAATAAAAATTTGTAAATGGCTGCATTACATGTAATTTATATCAATCGAGGAGGCGCCTTTAAATGTTTTGGAATAATTTTGCATCTCGAGAAATCGACTGCATTAGATGAAATGCAGCTTGGGCATTAGGCCAAAGTGAATTTTCCGATTATTCGCAGTATTCGGAAGAACTTCAAAACGATGGATACTCGAAAGCTTTTCACCGAGGAATTTTAATTATTTTCTGCACAGTTTCTCATATAATAAAAGTTTGTATATACGTTTGAATAACCAATGACTCTTATATAATAACAATTGTAAACTTATTCAGAATTTTTATTTTTAACTTTAATTTTTGCTTAAATAAATATTATAATACATAAAATCGATTTGAAAATCACATTTATATCAAGGCAAAAACGTAAATTAAAATCTATTTATTTTTGCAAGGTTTATACGTTGATTTTATGACATTCGATCTCTTAGATTAAGTGCTTTTCGCTATTATAACTGTGTAAATTCATATTTCACTGCGAATAATAAACATATGAAAATTGTGTGTATCATAGATACAAATTTAGCTGATGAAATATTGGAAAATCCGTAAGAAAAAAAATTATGTAAATAATTATTTTTTTTCGAATATTTTAGTTATACAATTAATAAGGATTTGAGATTAAAATTAGTTTTCTTCGAAGCGTCGAGTTAAACAATTTTATAAATATTTTATACATTCTAAACAAAGAATAGAACAGGATATAATACAGGAATCATGAGCTGTTTCTTTGTAATCTAAATGTACACTATTATGTATCGAATTATATGGAACAAAAGACGTATTAGTAATCGATAGCACTTTTCTGAGAAACAAAATGATCTTTGTATGAAATATTTTTAAGTTTAATAGTTTAGTACAACAAATTGTTAATAATACAAAAATTTGTTTCCAAGACTCGAGTCCCAGATATGTCTTATTTTTGTTTATCATTCCTTCCATATGCGAGGTATCGATTGACTATAGTACAAAATAAAATAAATTCTAAAAAAATATTTTTTATACACAAATCACTCTTTTTGCTGTTTATTTTTATGCGGTTTTAAAATCCTTGAACTGAACTATTCAAACAGTATGAGGTATTGGCAAAACCGATTACTAGCCCTGTGCGAGGTATGTTAGATTTATACATTTCAAATAGTGGAACCAATAACATAAATCCACGTGCGCTAAACAATGTTTAAATTATAATATATAATGTTGCAAGTTTTAGGTTCAAAATAAAAATAAATTCGATAACGATATTTTACTATTTATATTTACCTGTATTAATAGGATAATCGGTGTCCATTGATAATAAATATGGTAATGCATGTTTTTTTCATTGCCAAGACTATTTTCAATTCCTGGATAAATAACTTCTTTCCCGACTTTTTTTTGGAATGCTCCGATAACGCTATACGTGGAACGGGTCCAACAGTAGGTGTCTGCGAATACGTTTATTTACATTCTCAAAATAATTACCAAATAGAACACGCATTTTATTACCCAGAAAGTCTCCTTTCGTTTGCGAATTCATGCACTTTATCACATCCGACCACAAATACTTGGTTAAAATTAACAAGAAACAAATTAAAATTAAGGTCGATGTGCCGGAAGTGCTGAGCGAAAAGCATTTGCTTCCGGTACGAAATTTGGAAATTTTAAATAACGATCCAAAACCGCGCACGTTGAACGGAAGATTCATTATATTAACAATTTTCGTATGATTGAATACTAGAATATGTTTCTTTAAGATGCGAACTTTCACTGAATATGTAAATTTGATATTTCCGATAACGATCCTCTTATTTGCACAGCGACGGTTGGACAAGGGGAGATTATTCTCCCGCAAGATGTGGATGTGTCATCGCGCAATCTTATTACGATTTATTTTCTTCTAGTATAACTCCGGCATTTGGAGAGATTTCGTGGTTGGAGTGATCTCCAAAGCTTTGGTGCTTTCGAACTGAGAAGAATATGTGAACATGTGTAATACGTATTTAGCTGGAAAATGTTATTTTACACGTTATTTTAGAACTATAGACTAAAATATAATCACGTTTTTAAGAAGGTTTAGGATATGTTTCTTATGAATATAAACATAGACTTAGATATCTATACTTGTATTAATTAAAAGAAAGGTAAATTTATGTCACAGCTATATCTCTAATTAAGTTTAAATAATACGTGCCGTTATTTATTGTTATGAAACGGTTGGACGTGATATATGGAATTCGTATACAGCGTATACAATACATAATACATTCGTATTATATTTATAGGATTGGATAAGGAACCTACTTTGCCGAATAAAATATAAATTTACCTAAATATAAAGCTTGAAAAACGCGGTGCGAATGCCTACGTTCACTTTCAACTAAATTGAAAGCTTCCCCAATACGGAAATGTCGCTTACTCAAAAAAAATCAATTCCATACACAAGCAAAGTGACTTCGGTTATGTATTCATCCGCCGCATACTTCTTGAAAGTAATACAGTAATAGAAACATGAAATTACATAAACAAAAGTTTCAGACGTTCAATTCAGCATATTTAAAGTTATATGTTCCTTTATTATATGTATTTGTAGATTTCAGAATATCCTATTCCATACTATTCAATATTTATGCGCCAACAAAATAGTATTGACAACTATAATCTTCCTAAGTAAGAAATCAATTTCAGATTTAAAAAGTTTGTTTTGCTCTAATATTTCGAAAAAAAATAACCTACATATTGTATATTTCTTAATTACAATAATATTTATTACAATAATAAAAAAGAAACAAAATTAAACGTTTTTCATACTACAATAATAAAACAAAAAGTTAACTGCTGCAAAGGGCTATTGACCATATGTCTTTCTGACCTGCATATTCTTATTTCGATTATTTTTATTTTAATAAATTTATTAACATATAACAATATTCAATAAAATACAACTTGTAATGATTACTGTGTTTTATTTTATTTTTGTATTGATTGCTGTTTTTTATGTGATTATTTGGATGTTGTTACAAAACTATGTATATTTTAAATTTAAACATACTATAATCTAATTTTATTCAAATTCAGTTTACCCAATTAAAAAAATATTATATTGCGACTTGATTGTTTCAAATGAGAAACATAATAAATAAAAGTTTAAAAATATGACTTCATTTTATAGTTGGAAAAATTAATTTAAAGTTAAAATCTGCATTTATTTGTATATTATTCGAATTGAATAATGATTATAATTTATATTAGCATTCATGAAAATAAATAAAAAAATAATAAAAAAGTATTTATAAATGAATACATTAACTAATGATTTCAAAATATTTTAAATAGATTAATATTTGGTTTAATATGTTAATATTATTTATAAATATTTGTTATAGTTAGCATATTTGTTTATTTACATATAATATTTTTGTATTCAATATTTTATTTATTGATAAACAAACATATGTGTATGTATATATCAAACATTTATTTAAATTATATAAGCTTTCTAATTGAGTGATAAATAATAAATGAATATACTATAAGACACTTTAAACAAACACAGTAACTTCCGCAAATTACTAAGAGACGATTAAGACTAAGTGAAGGGATTTTTTAATTTGCCCAGACTAACTGATTTTGTCGGATATAATATCGTTGGAATCATCTATATTATGTGCTCCATCGATACCACTCCAACCTCCCCGGGATAATTTTCATCATCAGCATCTTGTATAGTGGCTCTCTACATTATACCAGTAAAATAATTTTACTATTATTCATTCGGACAATAAAATCGTTAAACTTTGTTCATACTTTAAATAAGTTGATATATTATAAAAAGATAAACGTAGACATTTTTTTGTAAAAAAACAAAAAAAAAAGTATTGTATGTATTGATTTTATTATTATTTAAGTATTTAAAAATGTTTAAGTCATGAGTAATAAAGAAATAGGTATATTATTAAAGAAGCTCTATATCTGTCATCATAATAAATATTAGTGAATTTTGAAAAATGAGTTTGGGGAATGAAAATGGTAGATTTCCGTGTAATAAATCTGAAAAAGTGATTTGTTTATTATCGCTATCTAAAGAACGAAGGGAAGTTACTTATGATTCACTTAGGATAAATCTGATTGGCGCAGTTGAAAATTACGATTAGGTTATCGGTAGTAAAGTAGTTTGAATTAATAAATCAAATATTTCGTACAAGTAGCGTTTATGTAGTTTATCTTTAGGAATGAACGTGCTATATTTCTGAGGCTTTGCTATTATTAAATGAATGTCTGCAAGGCACGCTGATGTATGTATACTTAGGCGCGTAGCGAATTTGTACAACTTACTTGGAAGAACAAGCAAAAGCACACCCATTGATAATACTTGTAGAGTTTCTTGTCCTTCTCGTCCTTGGAGGTTTCGACTCCGGGGTAAGGCACTTCGACGCCGACCTTTTTGTTAAAGGCGCCTTTGACCGTATAAGTCGAGTGAATCCAGCAATAGGTGTTGAGCACATCTTCGGGGATATCTTTGGTGTGAACGCAATCGATGGGATTGCCGACGTACTGCCTTGTAGTCACAATCAAACTGAAGGCGAACAGGATCAGCACAGTGATTGAATAGTGGAGCCGGAAAACTGGCGAGTCGATGTGGATGCTGCTGACCTTAATAAGAGTTTTCAGGCCCCGGAAAATGTCCAACATCGTTCCCCCCTCAATCCTGAAGGATTTGGGACGGCGACAGGCACACTTTGATCACCACCAACATGGATTTCATCAGAGCAAAGGATTGGATTGTTAATTCATTATGACGGTTGGGGTTACCAGTCCGGATTTTCGATTTCCGAAACGCGCTTACTATTAATTAGCGGATGGTTTTGTTGTGAGTGTTGTTTAGATAAAGGAATGTTTTGCAATTCGTTCTAAATTTTACGAGCGAGGTCTTTGAAATGCATGTTTTCTTTCAAACTCTCCCGGTTTCGGGCATAAACAAATAGCACTGATTTTTCCAAAAGTTCTCTATTTTTTTCAGATATTTACTCCGTTTTGCATTTGAGTTTGCTTATCTGTTTTTTTTTTAATTTATTTAATTAAACGTCACATGTTGGATTTCCGGTTCCATCACTCGTTAATTGTAATTTCCGGAAGTGCACGCACATTAAAACGCGCCGCGTTCAGTCGACTCTTATGGGCGAAGTCGAAGACGTTTTAAAGGGACGGAATCATCATCCACGTGCAGCAGCACCACTCGCAACACCATTTCAACACGAGTTGTTCTCAAGCTTCTGTCTTACTCCGGTATATACATATATGTGTGTACGCGTGGATGTATGTAGTCTTCTATGTATCAGAAAGAGAGACCGTGTATATATATATATATATGTGTGTGTATGTGTGTGTGTTAGTGGATGCGTACGGTCGACTGTGTGTGTGTATGTGTGTGTTGATGCTGCGGACGCCTTGCGAGCGTCAAGACGCTTATTTTAATACTGACTTTCTTAACAGAGGGGCTCGCCATGTGCCGGCCAGAAACGGGCGAATGTAAGCCTTACAGTTAAAAATAAGAAAACTGGACTAAATACACTTTGGCAGTTTGGTTAAAACACTGCCGTTCTTCACGTGCTTCGGCAGGCTCTATCAATATCATTATTACAATCTTCCGTCTCATGTTTTCCAACTTTAATAATCCGAAGTTTTATATTTAAAATAGCACTGACGCAGATCGCTTTCGGGCTTACATAAATATTTTACACGGTTATCTGCAAATGATGTACATCAAATGCAGGATATATAATTCCCTTTCAATGTCATGCTATTACATGATTATCCTTACGCGATATTAATCCGTACGTGTATTTAAATGTGAAGCAAATTTCGTTTATAAAAAAAGAATATTGATTCCGTATTTGGCTGCCGCTTAACGATAATACTCATCGTCCTTTAAAAAAATGATGAAATTTTTTACATACAGATTTCAATATTTGTTCATGTCTATTTTTTTTATATTTAACTATTATATTAGGAATATTTAATGGTTTAACATGTTGCATATAAATAGTTAAGCTCTTTTTTACAAACATTTGCTTATAATCGATAAAGATAAATAAGCATTCACACGCTTTGTATTATATTTAAATAATTTAGTATCGTATTTTTAAATTGCCACTTAATTACGAAATTTATTACAATTAGGGTTTTCCGGCCATGTCCTAAACATTTAGCAAAAATATATAACAGTAATATCGCGGAATACATACCGCATAGTGCGGAATACACTCAAAAACAAACTCAATTTTAATTAAGCAAAATAAAAGTATATTAAAAATCTCCTTAAACATACATTTTATATTTAAGTTACATTTTTACCAATTAAATACTATAAATAATTATACTTATTATTAAGTATACTAAGGATATTTTAATTTTCTACTGTCCATTAAAATTATTCATTAAACATATAAGATAGTATATGCTAGAAACAAAATGCTTCATATATTTTTTGTTTTCACTTATAATTAATGTAAACACATTTTTTTCGTAAAATATGTTAATAATGATAATGCATGAGACTGTTGTATCACATTTTTCATTTACCAGGTGGAAAAGGTATTCTTCAAATGTATTTTCTGTGTGTTTTTGGATGTTCGCATCTCGCAATCTGTCCTACATACACTACCACATTCTAGTCAATTGCACGTGGCTTTCTTTTAAATGGAAGACAGTCACACGTGCTAAGTAATTAAAATTTATTATGCTCAACACTGCAGATTAATACAGGAACTGTAAGTAGTTTGAATATCTTAATAATAATATCATTTATTTCAAATATATTATAAATTAATACATATTTTTTAAATATGAATTATAAGAAAAGTAGACAGAAAGTATTAGGTCTATAGCATTTTGGCCAAAATTAGGCCAATAAACCAATAAAATAAAATAAAGAAGACAATATTTTTTTTAAATAAAAACCACATAAATTGTCTTTCCGCACTAAAAAAGTATTATGTCTGGAAAACTATAATAAATAAGTCATGGTTCTACTAATTATGAATATTATATAGGTTAAATATATAACATATATAATACCAAAATAAGACAAAACAGGAAAATATTCAGATAAATGAATTAGTTGTAGTTTCTGCAAATCATCAATAACATGTCATCATAACATCAATATTTTTTTAAGAAAATATTAATATAAATTTTATAAAGCAGTAAACTACAATATGTATAGTTAAAATAAATAAAGTATAGGAAACATAACATATTTCAAAATACTCGTTTTTTTTTACAGTATATTTTTTTTGTAACGCATTGTGCGTTAAATTTAGAAAGTAAATGAACTGAAAATATTTACAATGCTTATTGTTTCCGCTAAATCCTTCAAAATATTTACAGCGTATCTGGATATTTCAATGTTCATTATTATTACGTTTAGGTTTGCGTGTATTATATTTTGCATTATTTAAAAAATAAATATTTTAATTATTGATTAATTACAGAAGATTATAATTAATTGTTTCATCAGATTAACACGTTATGTATTATTGCAAAATTCAACTCATATTCTCCTGTGTTATCTGAAAATGCAGACAAAAATCTATAAAGACTTTTTTAATTCGTCTGCAAAGTTTTAATTCTCTGTCGAGTATAAAAATCACATAAGAATTAATGTATTGATTCGGGTACTTCAAAATTACCAATAGCTGCTTAATTATTACTCGTAGCATAAACATTGTTATTGTTTAAATGGTAATATAATTCATTACATACATATATCACAAAGATGTTTATGATAAATAAGAAAATATAAAAATAATCTTTGCCCTTTAGCCAGTCTATTAGTATATTTTTTTATTTTATGTTAGAATTTATTTATGTATAGAATGTACTTTTTTTTATGTATTGATGTTTGACCAATAAATTATTATTATTTTAAAAATAATCATTAAAAAAAAGATACTAGTAAATTCACAACTTCTTATGTACCATTTGGCTGTACCATTGGCTCCAGCATTATGTCATGTCTTCAACTTTAGTTTCTTTACTTAACCCATTTTTGCCCACTGTACCTGATTAGGTACAGCAGTATTTATTGAATTGTCGGCAATCTAGTGAGAAGTAGCTAAAATTTGTAGTTGTATATTTGTTTTTAAATATGTAAAATTATATTATATAATAATGAAATTAAGACATCTATTCTGCACGTAAAACATTAGAGTTAATAGAATGTCGAAGTGTCAGTTATCAAAATAACTGAGAAGTACTATTTCAATTTAATAAAATCTTGTTGTCTATTCAAAAATTATAACAAGAAATGCAAGGTATTGCTGTAATAAAATATTTTGCTACTTCTAGCAGTATTATAGTAAAATATTCAACTCTCCTTTAGTATTATTATATAATATTACAAAATACATTTACATTACTATATAAAATATAACAAAATTAATAAACACAATTAATTATAATTAATTAATTTAATTCTGACATTTTAAATCCTCCGGAAAAGAAATTTTTGTCATAGTTTACATTCACAGCCGTGTAGGATAAATATAGATAAGAGGAAGAATTAATAGGACAGTTACAACTTACACATCGTTTGCGGTCATTTCCTCAAAATGACATGTGGCATTAAACGTATGCCACTTTTCATCATATAACTTGAAGTACCCATTGCTTCTTATATTAAATAGACTAACAGGAATTTAAATATATTTGTCAAAAAAGGTAAGTCTGCTCCGAGAAGGCTATTAATATTACGCTTAATTGATTTTTTTGTAGGTTCCTTCCGAAACCGACGGAGGGGCAATTTCACATATAATTTATTATGTAATCACGCCACGTAATAATAGCCCAAGTTTAATTTAGGATCGCCAAAAAATATATAAACCGATAAAAATATATATACGAAACATATACCGTTTTTTCGGTTTTAGCTTTCGTCTACCAATTTTACAATTTCTCATAGATAAACTGTCTGGACTCAATAGAATGAAGTGTATCACTCAATTTCCACAAATAAAGCTACAAAAATATTTTCATTTCTTGAATTCCAACAATACAATTTTTAGTTTATTATATTTAAGCTCGAAGCTGATTTTTTATACTTATAAAAGTGAATGTTTGTGTTTATAATACGTGGGCGGCGTATCGCATCATGATCTTTACTCATGTGTGCTCTTTTTTTCTCTCTTGGTCTTGAGTCATGTTAAACATTATTACGTCTATTTTAAGATTAGGAGGATAAAGGATTTCTGGTGAGGAACCGTACCGTCTTCCCGTCTTCTATACACATTTCATAAAGATATTAGCGCAAACATTATAGGAATATATGTGCAACCCGCCAAAAATAAGCGTCGGCCTCCTAGGCGGCCGCTAGCGAAACAGTCCGAGGCTATTTTAATACACAACACCGATCGATTTCTTTTACATGATGAAATATGCTACTAATGATTTTATTGGACATAAATATTCTATTTACATCAATTTTCGTATGAAGTGAAACCGGCATGGTCAGAAATTGAAATAACTGCTTGTCCGACTAAAATGTATATGTTACATTATAAGCGTCTACTCAGTAAATGTATATGTATTTGAAAAGCAATTAAAAGTATTTTTACATCTAATTGATTTAAAAAAAATGCAGAAAATCAATCAGAATAATTTCAATTAATAATTTTATTAATAGAAAGGGTTTATACAAAAAAACGACTTTCAGAAAAACCGTTTTTCGAATCTCAAGTTTTCCACCGGTTCAAACCGGTTTTCGAATTTTCACAAAAAAATATAAACATTATTATCTATACAACATTTCCAGAAATATAAAAAAACTGTCACTTGCTGAAAAACTGTCTACTAAACTAAATTATACTAATACTAAAGGTTCCTTTTTTAGTAGGTTGGGGCAGAACAAAGAAGTCATATCTTCAGGTTATTGAAGATATTTATTGATTAAAGCTTACTAAAACCTTGGAACTTGGAACTTTCAGTTCTCATTTGTTTCAATTCACGTAACGTTTTTTATCAAATACTTACTTACTTAATAAAAGACATAAAAAAGTCCACAAAATGGTTTTTGCCGATCTTATATTGAAGTTGCGTGAGATAGCGGACACTCTGAAGATATCACCATTTTGAATGAACATTTGAGCATGAGAAAGCTCGGTCCGTAATGGGTACCGCGTTTGCTCACAGTGGACAAAAAAAACGAGTGCTCGCACTATTTGGAGCTGTTCAAGCGAAATTAAAATGATTTTTCAACATGTAACAGTGGAAGAGACCTGAATCCACCACTACACTACAGATTCAAAAGAATCGTCGTCAGGTGAGCAGACAGCAAATTAAGGTAAAGTTTTGGTCTCCGTATTTTGGGATTCGCACGGAATTTTATTCATTGAGTACTTTGAGAAAGTAAAAGCCATCAATATCGAATCATATATATTTATTATTGCGTTCGAAGGAAGAAATTGCAAAAAACGATCACAAATGAAGAAGAAAAAAAGTGCACTTTCACCAAAACAATGCACCGTGTCACAAGTCAATCAAAATGTTGACAAAAATGCATAAATTGTACTTTGAATTGCT